CAAGGACAGAGAAAGAATAATCCAAAAAGACTATGGGGAACAGTACCTAGTGCTCCACAGGACTGGAAGTAGTGCCTGTTCCCACCAGGCAGACTGGAAAACCTTATAATTTGCTAAGCATTAGGTATAATATTCAGAAGGGTCTTGTTTAAGTAGTTGGGAATAATTTGCCCTAACCTAAATATTGTCCTATTTCACCTAACATATTAAAAGCAAGACCCAAAAGGATCAAACAACTTCCAAATAACTTAATGTGGTCCAGACACAAAAGCTGAAGAATATTTGTGGAATGTATAAATATCTAGCACCTAATAAGGTAAAATCATAATGTCTGGCATAAAATAAAAAATAACTGGGCATGCAAAGAAAACAAGAAAATATAACCCATAAGGAAGAGAAAAGTAATCAATTTAAAGCATTAGCAGTAAATGACCCTAAAACAGTTATTACAAATGTGTTCCTTATGTTCAAAAAGTTACATAAAAGACCAAAATCAAACTTCTAGAGATGAAAATGTCTGAGTTAAAAAAATACACTGAATGTGAGATGGAATTAGTGGTAGCTTTGCTATTACAGAAGAAAAAATCGGTGACTTTGAAGACATAGCAATACAAACTCTCCAAAATTATGTAAAGTAATAATTACTACAATGTATTGTTGGGTCTGTAACATATTTTGATATGATTTGTATGACAAAACAGCCCCAAAAGGAAGAAGTAGAAATAGAGCTATAGAGAGTCATGTTTCTATTTCACACCAAAATTGAGCTAATATAAATCTGAAGTGGATTTTGATAAATTAAGATAAGCATATGGCAAACTCTAGAGTAACTAGTAAGAAAATAACTCAAAACTGTAGTGAAAAATTTCTAAATAATTAAAATATTACGGTAGAAAATATCCACTTAATGAAAAAAAATCAGTAAAAGAGGAATAGAGAGGTGGAAAGGACATGAGACACATAGAAAACAAAAAGTAAAATAGCATCATAAATCCACTGTATTAACATTAACATTGGATATAAATGGATTAAAAAAGTCAAAGCACAGATTGTAGACTGAAAACAAAACATGTTAGACTGAAAACAAAACAAGATACAACTATGCTGTCTACAGTAGACACACCTGAGATTCAATTACAAATAAATTAAAATTAATAGGATGGAAAAGATATCTCAGAAAAATGGCAACCATAAGGAAGCTGGAGTAGCTACACTGATATCAGACAAAAGAGACTTTTTATAAAATGCTAGTAAGATAAACAGGGACATTTTATAATGATAAAAGGGTCAATCCATCAGAAAGATAAAACAATTATAAATGTATATGCACCTAATAACTGAGCACCAAATACATGAAAACAAAATTGACAGAAATTAAGAGAGAAATAGACAATACGACAATAATAGAGACTTCAATATGCCATTTTCAATAATGGATAGAACAACTATGCAGACAATAAAAAAGAAAAAGAAGACTTTAGCAATACTATAAAACAACAGTATCAACCTAACACACATTTATGGAACACTTCAATGAACCACAGCAAAATATACATTCTTTTCAAATGCACAGGGAGCATTCCTCAGGGTAAACCATAAGCTAGGTCATAAAACAAACTTTAATAAATTTAAAAGGATAGAAAGTATACAAAATATGTCTTTTATCACAGTGGCATGAAATGAGAAATCAACCCATAACTAAAAGAAGTTTGGGAAACTCACAAACGTGGAAATCAAATAACACACTTCTACATAACCAATGCATCAAAGAAGATATCAAAATGAAAATTAGGAAATACTTTGAAATTAATGAAAATGAAGACACAGCATGCCAAAATTTATGAGAGGCTACTAAAGCAGTACATAGTGGGAAATTTATAGCTGTAATGCCTATATTAAAAAAGAAGCATCTCAATTCAATTACCTAACCTTCCACTTTAAGTCAAAGATAAAAAAGGAGCAAACGAAACCAAAAGCAAGCAGAAGGAAGGAAAAAGTAAAGATTAGAGTAAAAATTAAATAGACAAAAGAGAATAAAGAAACAATACATAAAATTCACTAAATCATATTTGGTCCTTTGAAAATCAACAAAACTGACAAATCTTCATCTAGAATCACTAAAAAAAAAAAGAGAGAGAGAGAAAGAGAAAGAAGACTCAAATTACTAGGATCAGCAGTGAAAGAGGACATTATGACTGACCATACAGAAATGAAAATAATTATCAAAAAACACTATGAACAATTATATCCAAAGATAACTTAGATAAAATAGACAAATTCATAGAAAGATACAAACTACTAAAGCCAATTCAAGAAGTAGACAATCTGAATATACCTATAACAAGTCAGAAGATTGAATCAGTTATCCAAAATTACAAAAAAATCACCCAGGGCCACTCCACAGGTGAAGCCTACAAAATATTTAAAGAAGAATTGAAAACAATTCTTTATAAACTCTTTCAAAAAGGAGAAGAGGATGGAACAGTATCATATCATTTCATGAGGCCAGTATTGTTCAGATACCAAAACCACAAAATTATATCACAAGAAAAGAAAACGAGAGGGCAATTATCTTTTATGAATATAGACACAGAAATCCTCAATAAAACACAGACATTTGAATCCAGTAACATATAGAAAGAATTATACATCATGACTAAGTGGAATTTACTCCAGGAATGCAAGGTTGGTTTAACATTCAAAAAATCAATTAATGTAAGACACCATATTAATATAATAAAAAACAGAAATCACATGCTTATCTCAATAGATGCAGAAAAAGCACTTGACAAAATCTGATACCCTTTCATGACAAAAAGCACTCAATAAGCTAGTAATAGAAAGGAATTTCTTCAATCTATTTAAGGGCATTTATGAAAACCCTAAAACTAACATCAAACTTAATGGCAAAAGAATGGTTGTTTTCCTCCTAAATCAGCAATAAGACAAGGATGTCCACTCTCACTACTTCTATTCAACATTGTGCTAGAGGTTCCAGTCACAGTAACTGAGCAAGAAAAAGAGATAAAATGCATTCTAATTAGGAAGGAAGAAGTAAAACTACCTCTATTCAAAGATGACATAATCTCGTACATAGAAAAAACTCAAGAATCCACTAAAAAGTCTTTAGAACTAATAAAGAAATTCAGCAAGGTGGTAGGATATGAGGTCAATATATAAAAATCAATGATATTTCTATACAATAAACAATAAAGAATTCAAGAATGAAATTAAGAAAATATTTCATTCACAATAGCTCATAAAAGAATAAAATATTAGGAATACATTTAATAAAAGAAATGCAAAACTTATACTATGAAAACTACAAAACATTGTTAAGAGAAATTAAAACACATCTATGTAAATGAAAAAATGTTTATGCATTAGAAGACTTAATATTGTTAAGATGGCAATACTCCCCAAGTTGATCTATAGATTCAACACAATACCTATCAAATACCTGACTTCTTTCTAGGAATTGACAAACTGATTCCAAATTCATATGGAAATTCAAGGAACCTATAATAGCCAATCTTATAAAAGGAGAACAAAGTAGGAGGACTCACAACTCTCAATTTCAAACTTCCTACAAAGCAACAGTAATCAAGACAGTGTGGTACTGGCATATAAATAGACATATAGATAAATGGAACAGAATTGAGAGCCCATAAATAAAACCATGTGTCGGTGGTCAAGTGATTTGCAACAAAGCTGCCAAGATCATTCATTGGGGGGGGGGGAATAGTCTTTTCAACGAATGGTTCTGGGACAGCGGTACAGCCACATGCAAACTAATGAAGTTGGACACTTACCTTACACTGTATACAAACATTAATATAAAATAGACGAAAGACCTAAACATAAGACATAAAACTGTAAAACTCTTAGAATAAAACATAGGAGAAAATCTTCATGACATTGGACTTGGCAATGATTTTTTTGTTAAGACACAAAAGGCATAGACAACAAAAGAAAAATAGGCAAACGAGAGTTCATCAAAATTAAAAACTTCTGTGTATCAAAGGACCATATTGACAGTTAAAAGGCAACCACAGAATGGAAGAAAATATTTGCCACTCACGGATCTGATAAGTGATTAATATCAAGAATACATAAAGAACTCCAACAACTCAACAACAAAAAGACAAACAACTCTATTTTGAAGTGGGCAAAAGAATTGAATAGACATTTCTCCAAATAAGACAGACAAATGCTAGCATATGCACATATCTGTGTGTGTGTACAGGTCATCCTAATGGATGTGACACATTGTCTCATTGTGGCTTTGATATTTATTTCCTGACTGATCAATGATGTTGAGTATCTTTTCAGGTGCTATGATACAGGATCTGAGGAAGGAGTGAATTGAGAGTTAGT